AAACTAAAACTTTATTTTTTCTTAAACTAATAAAAACACTCTCTAACAACTTAAACCCTTTCTTAAAGTAAAAAACACTAACCACTACTTTCTTTTTTGCCAATCATATTTTCTCTTCAAAGAGCATTTTAGTTCCTTTCCACTACAGGTCATAAGTCTCCTAAGGTCGAGCAGTGGTGGAATAATTGAATTTAACATTGTTCAACCAAAAAACAAAAACAAAACATGAGCTAAACTATGGCGCTCTAATTCCTTAAAAGGGATGCGTAGGCATCTGGTCACAGGGCTTAGCCGAGTAACCTTCCTAATATTTTCCTTCTTTTCCCCGTGTTTTCTCATCTGCATGCATTTACCCATTGCTTTTCTTCTTTTAGCTTTAAGCCTTAGACATAGATTTTGACCACACATTTAGATTAGATAACATGAGTGGATACCGTAGAGTACTACAGACGTGAGGGGTGCTAATACCTTCCCCTCGCGTAACTGACTCCCTTACCTGATCTCTCAGTCGCAAGACTGTAACTTCTCCCTTCTCAGGTTTACTCGATGTTCACCTTTCCCTTTCGGTGGGATAAAAACGTTCGATGATGACTTCATTGATCTTGTATCAGATGACGGTTCGGCTGGTTGTTTCAATTGGTCAAGCGGAACCTTATCCCGACGGGGACACCTCGACCGAGCTCCACTATCTAAGTACCCAATAGGTAGAACACCCAGCTTGTGATGGGAAGTTCACGCCATGAAGTCAAGACCTTGATCGCGGTCTTGACCTCGTCCATACAGATTCCTACTCTACTTCCTCGACACATCCGAACATGTTTCGACCAAAACTAAAGTCGAGCTCAAATCTCCACTTATCAGAATCCCACACTGGAATAAGAATGTCAAGCACAAACAACAAGTAAAAATCTAATGACAAGTAAAGGCATTCAGATCAGTCATGCAAACCCGAACAAAATATAATCGGGTGAAGCCCTTGTCAAAAGTTTAAAAAAATATGGGCACGCAGGCCCCAATCCAAGTGATTACAAAATTACGGGAACACATGCCCAAACAAAATAACCAAATTATCAAGAAAACATCAATCACTCATCGGAGTACCCTCTTCGATCTCTGGCTCGGAAGATTCAAGAGGAGGGACTACTCTACCATCAACCACCTAGGACAAAACTCCAGCGCCTTCAGTATTGAGCCCCAAATTCAGCAAGGCTAGTTGAACCATCACAGTCTCAAAGTCCTCGGACAATGCACCCATGCACTCTGACTCAATAACTTGGATTCGAGCAGCCAGTTCTACATGAATCTTCAAGTTGGCGATTCCCTCGGGCTCATCTACCGTGGGAAACATGGCAACCTTCAAATTAACTACCTCCTTCTCCAAATTTTTCTTCTCGAGTAGCAATGAGTCCCTCTCCTCATAAGCTTTAGCCAAATTCTCTTTTTCTTTTGCTAGCTCATCAAACTGCTCCCGTAACTTTTTCTTGCCTTGCTCGAGAGAGGTCTTCAACTTCTGTGTTTTTTCCAGGAGAGCTAGTTTCTCAGACTTCAGCTTTCTCACCATGGCAGAAGAACTAGCCCCCTCACAATCGAGGACCACAACCATCTTTGTCACCTTCATTAGATAAACCATGCCGGATGCCAAATGTTTTCTTCTACCTTCCTCATCGAGTTTCCTAATGATGGTGGACTCCTCATCAGACACGGCCAGGGGAAATCCTTCGAAAAAATCCTTCTCAACAAACCAAGGAGGAAAGTTAAAGGCTCGAGCACCTGGTCTGTCTTCAGTAAAATCCACTGGCTCACTTTCAGAGCAACCCCACTTCTTCCCCGACACAGCCATGTGTTGAACAACATCACAAGACCCTGATGAAGCATTGGACCTATCCTTGACCTGCTCGAGAATAGAGCCAAGGTGCGTAGGTTGGTTAGGCTTCATTATCCTCTTACTGTTCTTTTTATCCTGGGTCTGCTTCAACAAATGTTCGCAATGCTTTTCCATCTTACCTACAAAAACAAAACAACATTCCCGAGTTAGTACGGCTAGAAGGACGTGCTCGAAAAAAATTAAAAACAAAAGGCAGTAGAGTCACACAGACAGAGACCCATAAGAATCGTGACATCCTCGTAGGCACGATATTAAACAAGAGCTTTGGTGTTGATCGGGCGAGCCTTGAACATAGGGTCACCATCTTAACCAAGGATGTCATCTCCCTCCATCATCACCCACCCAGAGGGGAAGAAATCATCGACGGATTTGTTGAGAGAACCGAAGGCCCCCTCATTCTCGGCACTCATGCTGCCAGCAAGAGTATAATAGCGGACATGCTCGTGGTTGTAATGAGCCTGACACCAATGGATAGGAAACTTGGAGAGCCTCTTGATCTCTTTGTTCCCATCTTTGTTAAGAAGAGCTTCCTCGTCCTCGTCAATGATAAAAATTGGGTCAAAAACCACATACATTGCCTCTTGGGATGAGGGTTGCATGACATACCATTTGTCCTTGAAGTCACGGAAAAAGTCTATATACATCCTGAACAGTCTCTTTGATTTCTTGAAAGAAACCAAACTATTCTTTCCTCTATTTGACTACCGTTGAAGATGGAAAAACCTGAAGAACAAAGGAATCGTCGGCCCAATATTTAGATATCAGCAAGTGATCTCGAAAGCCCGTATAAAAGCGATCATGTTGAGGTGTACTTGGGAGGGAGCCAAAGAAAAATGATTAAAGGCACCCATTTGAAAGTCACTAAAGGGAAGACAAAGCCCCAAATATCTGAATATAATCTCATACATAGGGAAGAGATCTTCCTGGAAAGTCGATCATATTATGGCCATAGTGGTCGGGAGAAAGATCATGAAATTTCGTCTGAAACCTTCCTGGTCACTGCCATATTCGACAACCGTGTATGCCTCCCTTCGAGTATTGCTAAAGACCGAGGCTATTCCTTGAGGCTCTGGACTGACCTAGGTCAATGAAGGATCAGTGACGGTGTCGACCAAATGGAGACCCTCGTCAGCTCCACTCGTTTCCTTTATCTCGACCTGTTCGGCTGTCTCGACTGGTTCAACCATTTTACCTATAAAGAAAAGGAAACCAGTGAGTTCGACATCTTAATCTAATCCACCCTTCCACTGCAACACAAGTGAAAGGGGGTTTCTACGACCAAACTATATCGATGAACCCTCGTTCAGCAAAAAGCAAACAAACTCAAGAATTCCACAGGGAGAATATTAATCTCTCGAGCAAATTCATGAACGCTACGAGGAGAATATGAATCTCTTGAGAAGCCTCGTAAATATGATGATAAAGAGATGAATTTCCTGAGCAAAACTGTGAGTATCACAAGGATGGGATGAATCCCCCAAGCCATTTCTTGAGTTTTGCGGGGATCAGATAGATTTTACGAGCAAATTCATGAGTATCACAATGAGGGGTATAAATATCCCGGGAAAAATTTCCCAGAATTTAAAATTCACTAAGAAATCCATGAATCCTATGGGGAAACCCCTCCAGAAATTTCCACAAAATACAAAAACGAACAATTGCAAAGAAACACTTACTTGGTTGATGTTGATATGGGTGCTGAGGAAGAAAGCACGGTGGTGCTCACAACAGAGAGGAAGATTGAAGACAGTGTAGAGAAAAGAGAGAATGAGAACTTGGAAAGTTGCAAATGATCCCTTGGATGCTACTTATAAAAGTTGTACGGAAGAAGAAGCTTCGTGTCGGGTAACCTGTCAGCTATTTAATTCTCTTCCGACCACACGTACATAGCCATAACAATTCATACTCTATAGGTCATCATTCTAACATAGAATCTACACTACCAGTCCCACTATGTGATTCTCCTACAAATTTTTAGCTCGCCGCGAGTCGAGGAATATATCCACTGTCCCCACCAACTTATTCCGACTTCTATCCGAAAAACTACCATACATGGACGACTTCAACTCTTGAAGGAATAAAGATCCCCGACGAAGCTATCCCTGGAGTATCATAAAGTTGGTCTTAAGTCATAGCTCATCCCCTTAGGAGCAACAACTTGGGAGGCTCCTGTTCTGGACTGGGCATGCGCTTGGCCCAAACAGCATACAGAGCTCAATCCAACCATGTTGCAGGAGAAGGTCAGTAAGAATGAGGATGCCCTTGACTATGTCAGGCAGAAACTCCACCCTTTCACTAAGGACATGCCCTTCGGGCCTTCCTTAGTATAGGGTTATTGAGGAGTGTTAACGGCTCGCAGGAGGTCTTGACGAGCACCCTCTTCGTAGGGAAGACTCCCACGTCTTCGAATATCTCAAAGTCATCTTGACCCCGAAAATACCGCAACCACGTCGTCCTAGTAATTTGGAGCATTATAATCAAGAGAGAGACCACGTGTTGGTCACCACTACTCATGTAGATCTTGTCAGTCTTCATTTTGGGTCTGCTCTATCAACCCAATATGGGACCTTGACCCAGCGCTAGGGGCTATAAATACCCTCTCACTTGAGAGAGTCAGGTATTAATTCATCTATCCATACTTTCGCATTCTACTTGCACTTACTTTGAACCTTACTTTGACATGGGAGTGTCTTGCAGGTACCCCCTCCCACTTCACATTCAACCGTTGTTCGACTTGAAGCTTGTGGGCATTGACAATCTCTTCTGATCAAATACGATAAAATATCTCATAATATCTTTTTATATTAATTTATATGATCTCCAAATTAATATAAAATATTCTAACATTAATGAATGTTACAATGAACCAAATCAAATGAACTTGATACCTGTAAATTGCTTGTACCAAATTACTTTTCGACTTTCTAATTTTTGGCAATCTCGAAACATGTTTTTTGTCTCTTCATTAACAAAGGTTTTAAGGCACATTACAATATTTATCAACATAATTTTGAGCAGCAGTAGCCTCAGGATGCTAAAAAGAGTTTTTCTAAATTCGAGGACTATGAGGTTTAGGCATAAAGAAGTTGTCATAGGATCTCAATAACTTGCAGGTTTACACCACACTTCCAATTTTCCTGCAATGACTGCTTAACTCAGAAAGATTTTCATACTCAATATCGGAGAAAAACACGAAATCTTCTCTTTCAACCAATATGATGAGATCATAAGTTCACTAAGCATGTGCAAGGAAACATAAAAAAAAAATTCTCCAAATAAAATGAATATTTTATTTTATTTATGAATATCTACAATTTATATGTTGGGGTCGAGAGGAAATTAGGCTTATTTATGGCTAAAAAATCTTCAACAATGAGAATGAAAATATGTAAGAAAGGCAATGAATATCCACTTTCTCCACTACCTTTATGTTTGTGACCTTTCACTCACTTTCTCCACTACCTTTAAGTGTGTAACCTTTCTATCTCAAACCATTAATGATAAGTTAGTGGTCTAAATTTGTAGAATTTATTAAATTATTATTGTAAGCTACCCTTTACCTATAAATAAGGAGCAAATCATGAATGAAAAAACAAGTTGAATTTTGTAAAACAAATACTTTGTGTGATTTGAGAGCATTGCTCATTTGGTTCTGGATTGAACCATATTCTGATCATCACTAAGGCTTATCATTCTTTCTTATTCATAGAAAGAGTGTGTCGCCCCATTTCTATCTCTTTCCATCATTTTATTTCTTAATTTTATTGGTTTCAATTTTTTCCAAAATAAAAAATTAATTGAAATTTCGTTATTGCTACTCTAGATATTATCATCCTAAATCACAAGTTTCCTAAATATAACCAAGTATGAGAAAAATGGTCGAATCACAAATCATTTAGTCATCACAACACATTATGGTTTAGAGGAAATACCAAATCCATGTAGGTGAAGACACAAACAAACTGCCCAAAAGTCCAGTCCATCCTAGATTTAGAAGCTGCAATATCAATACAAATTGGTGTACCGACATAACGCGCAATAGAAAAATGAATACGAGGCCTCTAGTACTCATGCGAAAACCCAAAAATTTGAACCCAAACTTGAGTTGAGGTGTTGTTTTGTGCTGACGGATTGAAATCTCTTGTCCAAGCAAAATGCTTCAGCGAACCCGTGTTTAAACTAATAGAACCCGACGCCCGAACTCTCTGCATAACTTTCGTACTAGAAAATGTAAACTCGTAGTAACCTTTTCCCAACGATTGGACACCCCCAGTTCTTCACATCTGGCCAAATGCGATAAAGTTTATCCCTTAGCACAACTACCGTGAGCGGTGAAGATCCCTTTGGCCACAACATTCTTCCATGAAGATTATTCTTACATTTATCGAGCCCAACTTTATATTCTTTCTCTGGGATAGTGATAGAGGGACGGTCCCCTTTGATAATTGGTTGAGGCAGTTGCGATTGGGGAATATCGTAAACCCCTTTCATAGCTTGAGCGAAAGACTTCACTGGATGATGTTTCAAATTTTCTAACCAAAAGAGAGCTTGGAAATCATTTTCCTTTGGAGTTTCTATGGTTTTTGGAAACAACACATCAGAATCCATGAATAAACAACAAAGTAGAGAGAGGATTAGGATTTGTCACCACCATCCAAGAACGTTTTGTTAGATAACAAAGATATTTATTTTTTGATGTTAGTATTCAGAAGTCACCTGAAGGCACAAATATTTTTTCTGAACCCTTTGTAATTTTGTGGATCATTCTTTTCCATCTTGTCATCATCTAGGACCAAAATCAAATACGGTATTTACTTATCGGTCTATCTTTTCATATTTGACCGGATAATAAGACATTAATATTCATTAATCTGTTTTCTCTGAATTAAGTCGTTTAATTTCTTTACGGCGTGGTTATAACATCCTGGTTTTTTGTCTTTGGTTCAAGAATTTTGGTCCTCTTTTAATCCTCATGGTCATAAATTGTTCAGTTTCAAGGAAAGGCTTAAATCCCTTAGGTCTTGTTTGAGGTTTGGAATGTAGAGGTTTTTGGTATCCATGATCTTCAAGTGGAGCGTGAGGTGAATGAGCTTAATAATTTGGATGCCGCAGTGGCTGATGGCGGTTTTAGTCCTATTGTAGGTGTGCTTTTGAGGCGGATTGAAGCAAATGCTCGTGTTTGGGAGAAATTAAACTTTCAGGATCTTTTGATTAGGCAAAAGGCTAAGTGTTGTTGGTTGAAGGAGTGAGACCGAAATTCTAAGTTTTTTCATTCTTTTATGAAAATGCGATTCCATCGTAATTATATTGATGGCTTAAAAGTGGGAGGCATTATTACTGATGATGTGGAGAGTGTTAAAATGGCGGGTTTTGAGCATTTTAGAGATCATTTTCAAGAGCCTTTTGTGCAAAGACTCTTGCTTGAGGGGGTGAAATTTTCTCAACTTTCCCTCAAAGGCAGGAGCGAGTTAGAGCTTCCCTTTTCCATTCTTGATGTAAAGAAAATTATTTGGGATTTAAGTTCAGGAAAAATTCCAGGGCCTGATGGTTTTACTATGGAGTTATTCAAGACTACCTGGGATATCATTAAGCTTGACCTCGTTGATTATATCTCTGAATTTTTTTTGTCGGGGGTTCTTCCATAGGCTACTTCAACCTCCTTCATCTCTATTATTCCAAAGTGTCAGAATCCTCAGAGTCTCAACAATTACCGCCCGATTTGTCTTATTGGTAGCATCTATATGATTATATCAAAGTTGTTAGCAGGAAGGTTGAAGGGTGTGCTTCATTAACTCATTTCGGTGTCTCAGTCCCCTTTTGTACCTAATGGAGGTTTTCATGACGGTGTCCTGGTCCTGAATGAAACTGTTGATTTTGCGAAAAGGAATAAGAAAGGTCTTTTCTTGTTAAAGGTGGACTTTGAAAAGGAGTTCGACTCCATTTATTGGGACTATTTGTTGTATATTCTCAAGAGGATGAACTTTGGTAGTAACTGGTTATGATGGATCAAGGCGTGTGTTTGCTCATCTTCTTTCTCGGTTTTAATCAATGGTCGCTCGACGGTCGATTTTAAGGCTACGAGGGGCCTTCGTCAAGGGGACCCCCTTTCCCCCTTCCTTTGCATTCTCGTGGAGGAGGGGCTGTCCAGTTTAATGCGCAATGTTGTATCAAGTCATTGTTTTCATCCTTTTTCTATGAATGATGATATTCAAATTAGTTTACTCCAATTTGCGGGTGACATGATGATTATTGGGATGCCATCTTGGGAGAATGTTGGGACTTTGAAGGCGTTGCTTCAAGGGTTCAAGCTTTGCTCAAGTTTATCCGTAAAATTTTTAAAAAGCAAGATCCCTGGATTTAATGTTTGAGTTGGATTTTCTTTAGGCGGCATCTGATTTTCTTCTATGTGCTATTAGTCCCTTTCCTTTCCACTTTCTGGGGATCTCGATTGGTTGTAATCCTAGGAGAAAATCTGCTTGGTTGTTGCTCACTGCCAATTTGAGAAATAGATTGGCCTCGTGGAAAGGTAAGCATTTCTCTCTTAGAGGGAGAGACACTTTGTTGAACTTTGTTTTGAATGTTATCCCATTGTTCACTTTCTCGTTCTACAAAGCTCCGAAGGTTTTTATCCCATAAATTATTTATATTCAAAGGGCGTTCTTGTGGAATAGTCAGAAGTCTCGCAAAAGGATTAATTGGGTTGCTTGGTCGTCTATTTGTCTTTCTAAAGAGGATGGAGGTCTTTGAGTAGAGAATTGTGAGGCGTTCAATTCAAATTTGATGAGTAAATAGGGATGGAAAATTTTATCCGAGAGTGAGGCTTTATGGCACAAGGTTCTTTCCTTCATATACTGGAACATTAGGATGGTTGTCCGTGATAACTCTCTCTCGTTTTTTCATTCGAAAGCTTCTACTTGGTGGAGGGACTTGAGGATTTTATTGAGAAATTAGACCTCTGACTTTTGTTGGTTCAACCGTAGTTTATCTTGTAAAGTGGGCATCGGTGATGAGCTTGATTTTTAGAGAGATTGTTGGATTTGCACGAACCCTCTGTGTGTTCAATTCCCTTTTCTGTTTCTGGTTTTTCTTGCGCCAAGGATGCGTATATTAACTGTTGGCTATTGGGCGCAGTCTCTTTGGGTTTGGATTTTCTGCCTGTTCCCTTCGGAGCTCCTGGGTTTGGCCGCAGCGGCTGATTTTTCTTCTCTTTTGGAGGTGCTACAACATGTTTCCCTGTTATCGGTTGCTCGGGATCAGTTTGTTTGGAGGTGGATCCGGGAGGTTTTTCTGTCAAAGACTGCTTATGCAAGTTTGATGTCATGTGTAGAGCGCCAGATGACGTTGGGGTTGAGTGACAAAAAAGCATTGCATTATATTTGGAAATTTAGTGTTCCCTCTAACGTGTCTTCGTTTTTTTAGAGATTAATTTTGTAGCGGCTTCAAACTAAAGATAAACTTGCAAAAAGGAGTGTCTTATCAGATACTCATTGTCTCGTTTGCCCGCTTTGCTTGGGTCCGGTGAAAACTCATCTCCATCTCTTTCTTTAATGTCACGTCGCCGAGGAGGTTTAGATTTTGATTTTGGCTCGGATGAGGTTTTCCTATTCTAAACCTTATGTTTGTTCTTCAGAGGATTTGTTATTGTTCATTTCGACAATGTGGGAGAAAGGTAAAAAAAGGATTTCGATGCCTTATTTGATTATTTGCTGTGAGGGCCATTTGACTGATCTGAACCAAAATTGTATTTAAGAACGGTGTTAAGGGGAGTCGGGATAATGTAATTTTAGCAAAATCTTTACCTTAAAATTGAATTTATGCTAGATCTTTAGGACAGCTTAGTGAGGCTAGAGAGAGTTGATTATCAAATTCGATGGAATTGTAATTGTAATCTTTTCTTTCCTTCCAACGGGTTGAGTACCTTTACTACTCGTTTTAAATGCATCTCTTTTGTTTTATATGAAAAAAAAAAGGAAAGGAGTATATATTTTGTTATTTTATAAAGTGTGCTTTCATATAGTGTACTACTCCGTGCTCGTGCTATTATTTTATTTCAATTTGAAAGTAATTTACGCCTCTAATGTAGCACACTCCATCCCATCCCACAATGAGTATAGAAAGCGATGTTTATCGGTTTATTAATCAACACGATTGTCTTTGTAAGGACAAATTAACATACCAACTTTCGGATTAATTTAAAGCAAAATTCCATATTAGTGAAAGCCATCCAAAACCTATTTGACTTGTAGATAGGAATATCACCACTATTGCCCTTCATTATTGGCTTCCAACCCGTGACGTACGTCCATATAGTCTTCACTAAGCAACTTTTTATACAATTCTTGCTTTCTCTATTTTATAATTGAACTAGCCCTAGTTATTACTTTCTGAATAATGTATTCATCAACGTCTTTGATATATATTAGTTCTCTAATTTATCTTAAATCTTCTTAGATATTGTTAAGTCCAAAATATAATATATTATCTCATCTAAAATATATAGACAAGTTAATTCTACAACCTTTTTCTTCGTCTCTTTCCATCGGTATTCTTTATAATAATAGTAATGAATTCGTGCTTTATACGTTAGGGCTAAAAGTTATTTGAGTTATATTTACATGTGGATGCTACTATTTGTAGAAACCAAACGTGTTTTTTACAAAGACAATTATAGTATGATTTGATTTAGTCTTTGTTTGTTTCAGTTTTAAAAAATATATTTTTTAAATATTTTTAAAAATAGATTTTTCAAATTATTTTTTAAATATTAAATGTTTTTATATGTTAATTTTTTAAATTGAAACATTAATTTTGATATTTTATAACATAAATGTATATTATTGAAGACAAACACAAAATCAAAATCGTAATTTAAAAAAAAAATTATATTTAAAAATATCTTTCGAGAAACTAATTAATGCATTAGTTTTCTTGAAAATTTTAGTCAAAATGAAGTTCTTGGATTTCTCGAAATGTTTTATTTTGTCCTCTTTAAAACTCTTATTGCTTAATGATTGTTGAAGGTTTTATTTTTTCCAAATATTTCCTTAGCTTTTTTTGTAGAACTAATTCATAACAAATAATTATGCAAGACACCTCCATACATGATATCAATCTTATTTTAGACGTGGAATAAAAAAAAATTATCATACATATAATTATATGAATAAACAACATTTTAGTCTATGAGAGATGTGTTGAGTATGACTCATATTAAAACAAAAAAGAACAAATATGTGAAACAACATGCTTTATGAAAGATGTACCGAGTATGGCTCAAATTAAAACATGATCTATATAATATAGTTTGGTAACGCTCACAAATGGCGGTGCATTAGCCGAAATCGAACAACATAGAGTATAGTGATTGGAAAGAAATGAAAGAGAATGTTGTAGTATTGATTCGTGTATGTTTTTCAAACAAGGTTATGTATCGTATCTTGGATCTAACAACGTTAAAGGAGGTTTGAGACAAATTAGAGAGTTAGTATAAGTCAAAGGTATGGATAAAAAAATTTCGCGAAGCAGTGATTATAAAATATAAAAATGCAAGAAGGATCTCATTTGAAACAACATGTTAACTTCTTCAACAACATAATCAATGATATAGT